CTACCCCCCTCCTCCCTCCCCTCCCTCCCCTCCCTCCCGTCTTTCTCTTACATTTATGTTCTAAGAAAACTGTATCCAGTTGGCTTTTTAGCACAACAATCTTTTTAGCCACCGTGTTTTCCACTTGGCGTTTCTGTAGAGTTTTAGCTTTTTTAGTCTTTTATGAAACCGTAACCTTCTTGCTCTCAGCCAAACTTTGCTCCTTCTCTGCTACACCATAATGGCACCTTCTTTGCTAATTTATTAATGTGGCCTCCTGTTTTGGGGCTTCTGGTGGTCTTTGATGATAATTTGCTTTCCTGCATTAGTGAATGAATACACTTGTGAGTGCTCACAGCTTGTGTGGACACAGACAGTTTCAGCTCATTGCTCGATTTGCATCCAAGAGGAGAGGGAGATTTTTTTTTCGGCTATAGAGGGTGTGGTTCACCAGAGAGAAACAGAAAATGGAGGAGGGAGAGTGAGAAAGCACCCATGGGATGGCCATGCTGCAGTCCCTTCTCCGTGTCTCTTTCCTGTCGGGCTTTTGGGCAGGCATGCACGTGTACCTGGTGTGTTTCTCAAGTCGTCAGATCGGGACTTGAACTGTACAGGTGTCTCTGCAGGGTCCAGCTGCCTTGATCACCACGCCATGGACTGGATCTTTAACCACAGCCTGTTCCCGATGGTGGGGTCATCCCCCAGGCATCCTTCCCTGACCATTTTCTCGCTGTGACCTTCTGATTCTCATTAGAATAGTGGTGGGAAACAAAACAGCCCTTGGCCCTCTTAGTGCGACTTGACCGGGAGCCGTATCAAGCTGCTTTTGCCCATTCTGATTGCTGACTTCGCTGACATTTAAGTTCTAGCGGGGTTCTGATTCCTGGTCCTGTGTTTGTTTAGACATCTGCCTGGAGGAGGAGGAGGAGAATTCTGAGCGCAGTGCATCAAGAAAGTCTCGTCCCGAGGTCATCACTTTCACAGAGGAGGAGACGGCCCAGCTAGCCCGGATCCGACCCCAGGAAGGTGCTACAGTGTCAGAGAAGGTCCTAGCACAGTCGGCAGCAGAAAAGGACCGTGTCAGTGAGCTGAGGGACAGGCGTGCGGAGCTGGAGGCCGAGCCCAAGCATGCCAACTGCTGCACCTACTGCCCCAAGAGCTTCAAGAAGCCCAGCGACCTGGTCAGGTGAGGTGTAGCCTGGTTCCCCCAGGCGTCCCCGGTAATTCCCTTACAGCAATGGAAGTCAGTGCAGCCGGGTGCCGCGTGAGCAGTGCTGGTTTCTTCCATCTGTGTGTGCTTTAACCTGTGCCGTTTCTGTAGTAAGAATGGCCTAGAGGGCAGTTTGAAAATCTTCTCCGGGCATTGCTCGTGCTTGCTTCCGTGGGACTGTGGTAGGAGGCCAGCTGGTGCCTCCCGCACAGGGAGCAGCGCGTGAGCTCGACCTCAGCCGGCAGGGAGGAGCCAGGACTTGACACAGCGGGCCTGGAGCAGGAGGAGCTAGGGAGCATTCGGATTGCAGAGAGAAGACTGAGCAATGCTCCTGGGGGCAGCAGAAGAGTCTCTGTCTACACTACGGCAGTGTGCTCGGGGAGACGGAGAGTAGACGGATGGCCGAAGGTTGCAGAGTGGCGTGAGAATGGGAGGGTCCGTGGGTTGCTAAGAATGATGTGAACACGGGCTGCTGCAGAAACCACACAGGCTGTGCCTCGGTGTCGGTGTTCTCAGACCCCTCCGCGGGCGGCCTGCTGTGCAGCGAGGGGCAAGCCGCAGTGTGCCAGGGCTGGGGCGCTGTCCAGCTCGTGGGTGACCACTGTGTTTGTAGCTCTTCCCTGAAAGTGGGGGTGTGATCAGCCAGGTGGGGAGAGTGTGGATTACAGGAGGCCCAGAGAGGGCTGGACCATGGGCTGTGGGCGTCTCAGCGCCACCCTCCAGGGCCCCCTGTCCTGGCCCAGGAGCAGGGATCCAAGGAGTCGGTGGTGTGATCTGGGATGGGGATTAATGTGGAGAATGAAGCACAGGAGAGGCCCATGGTGGGTACAGTGAGGGCCTCGGCGTTGTCTGGTGTCTTGCCTGGCCCACGGGCAGGCGGAGGGGCCTTACGGACCTAGTGAGCAGCAGAGGGAGAACCATTCTCATCTGTGAGTTGGGCGGTGTCATAGTGAGAAAGGGACGCAGGCTGGGTGCCATGTGGCGGTGCTGACGGCAGCTCCCTGGACATGCACCACGCCGCGGCTGGTGCCACCGAGCAGCCGAGGGGACGGCTCCTGGACAGACAGGATGGCGCTGAGTGTCCAGTGAGGACCCATGAGGATGGGAGGGACACGAGTGTCATGCCCAGGACCAGCAGTTAGCGTAATGGCTATGTCTCTGGACTCCCACGTAGTCGACTGTGGTTCGCATCCCGGACCTGGTGGCTTAAACTCACGCCAGGCGCGTGTGCGTGTGCGCTCAAGATCACAAGAGGAGAATGGAGGAGAAGGGATTGCGGCATGGTCATCCCCCGGGGGGTGCTTTCTCACTTTCTGTCTCTCTGTCTCTCTCTGTCTCTCTGGTGAGCACATGCACCCTATAGCAAAAACCTCTTAAAAAAAAAAAAAAAAGAGTGTCATGCACGAAGGTAGATGGTGGCGCAGCTGACACCGAGCGACCCTCTCCTCCTGTCCTGCATGGTGACAGAGCCCGGGGTCCACCCCCTTCCTCACACAGAGGTCGTCATGGCCGAACAGCCCAGAAAGCAGTACCGATGGCGTTCCGGTCCCCAGAGCCAACCGTGGTGGAGGGTTTCCCAGTGCGTTTCCTCAGAAGTGCCCGCGCACACGTCGGCGTGCGGCCTGCAGTTCTGTTTGCTGTGACCGGCTCCCTCCAGCGCTCAGAGGTGCATCCTCTGTCAGTCCCTCTCACCCTCGCGTCTTTCCCACGATGGCGCGGCGTGCTGTGTGGCGTTGAGCGCGCCTCCCCAGCCCTGTGGTGATACCGCGTTTTCAGTGTTGCATTCCTGGGTGGGAACTGCTGCCACTCTGTCTTCTGTGTCCCCATGTCCTGCGTCTGACTCAGGCCCGGTACTGGCTGGGGCCTCCGGTGGGCTGTGAGTGCCGTCTGGAGGCAGGAGGGGCAGGGCCGTCCTCGCCGGTGCGCTCCTCTCTGGGTCTCGGCCCGGCTGACCCCCGGCATGTGCCTTCCGGCCGTGTGTGTTCCTCCTGCCGGAAAGAGCCCGTGCCGCCTGATCCCCGCTCTGGTGTTGGCGGTCATCTGGCCAGTCTGTCAGGACTTCTCAGCTTTAAGGAAGTTAGCCTTGTTTTCACTTGTCGGAAATATTTTTATTATTTGGATCAGTTAAAGGATTTATTTTTTCAGTAGAGTGAAACTTCAAATTTTATCTGGCCAAGTTTAATGACTCATTTCATTTAGATGATTAGTTATAAACGTCCAATCATGAGGTTGCTTGGAAATGCATGTACAGTTAATAAGAAAAGTGCTTCATCGCTAATTGTTTTTGATAGGCACGTTCGGATCCACACTGGGGAAAAGCCATATAAATGTGACGAGTGCGGGAAGAGTTTCACCGTCAAGTCCACCCTGGACTGCCACGTGAAGACGCACACAGGTAGGGCGCCGCGGCCTCGGCGGGCCTCACATACGTGTTTGCACACACAAATAGAGTGCCTTACCAGGAGAGTCAGCCTACCTGAATTCGAGAAAAATACAGGGTGACAACTGTTTTGAAAGACTCTGTGTTGTAGGGGTGCTCAGAGTGACTGGGGTGAGTGCAGTGTGGGGGTGCACACGCACTGTGCAAACGCAGAGCCTGGGGGCCTTGCGCTTCTGTGGGCCTTGTGCTGTGGGGTCCTGAGTCAGTTCCCTGTGGATACAGAGGGATGACTGTCCCTGCAGAGCTGTAGAAAGCCCTAATATCAGGAGCCACAGACAGTGGACGTGAAAGGTTTTTGCTCCTAATGAGGCGAGGTGGTGAGATAAGGGAAACGGATGAAGAAGTCCCAGCAGCTGCCACGGATCGCCTGTGTCCCCTCGGGTGTCACCACCTTAGAAAGATGGCCTCTGTCTTCTCTAGGGAGATAGAGCAGCTTGAGGCTTCCTGGAGGTGGAGGCAGGCATGGCTGCTGGCCATTAGCAGGCTGTCCTGCTCGTGTGTGGGGGAGAGCCGGCCAGAGGGAACCCGGGATGTCCCATTCTCGTGGCCCTGTCTGGAGTTCCTCGAGGTACCGAGGGCTCCTTGACTTCTGCACGGCATGCCCTCATGGCTGGGAGGGCCACGCCTGTGCCCGAGCGTGCGCTCTGTCCTCCGCGCGCAGCTAACGACCCGAACACGGCTTTCTGGACACAGGCTCCTGGGCGGCGGCTGAGGCTCGCCCCACCCTCGTGTAGGAGTCCGCTGCATTGCGACACGGAAGTCGCCTGGGCTCGTGTTTACATGTCGTGACCTCCCAGGGCCTGAGTGTCGTTGGTACTGAGATTCGCGGGGTTCTGGTTATCAGACCGTGGTCTTCATTGTGGGATATGGACAGAATGGGCAGACGCGTGTGGGTGGACTTTGACACTTTTAGCTCTGTGGCGCGCTCCTGGTGGGTAACATTCGAAACTACACAGACGTGTTTGGCACAGTCTTCTCTGCGTGGCTCCTCGATTCTCCTGCCGGGCTTCTGTGACGGCATCTCTGGTGACAGAGTGGCATCACGTCCCTCCTCCCCCAGGCCTGTGCATTGCCTCACTCACACGAGGTGCCCCTGCCAGCCCCAGCCCCAGCCCCAGGACTCTGCACAGCTGCCTCCCTGCCTGTTTGGGGGCAGGAGTTTGGTGCAGGCCATGTGCACAAGGAACAGAAGGAAATGTCTTTGTGAAAATGTCCGCTTGGCGCCTTTGGTCATCTGAAACGATGAGTGGACCCTGAGGCCCCATACAGCATCAGCTCACAGCCTCTCTTGTCCTTGCGTGGGTCTTTGTGTACACTGTCCCTGTGAGAGTCAGGGCTTGTTCCTGGCTTAGTCCAAGAGACGAAGCCATGGGCTCTTCTGCCCCCAGACTCTTCCAGGGCAGAGTGGGTGCTGTGGGCCCGCGGTACCTTCCTGGCCTCAGCCTCTCCCTATAATTTTGGCAAGACCCAGCGTCCCAGGAACTAGGGGCACAGTAGCAGACACATGCCCATGACCCCATGTGGGGTTTGCTCTGTATGTCCCCACTGGCTGGTACCCATGCTGGCCTGCTTGTCAGAGGAGAAGGTTGAGGGATCCTGGGATGAACGGTGCAGTGGTGTGGGGGCTTGGCTCCACTGAGTTGGAATCAAGTGCACCCAGCCTGCTGGGTATCATGCGGGGGCTTGAAAGACCATCAGCAGGCCTGGCTGGGCAGATGCCACGTTCGCACGGAAGCAGTCACTGATGAGTTTTTGCAGCTGCCTATCTGTCCTGACGTCGAGGTGAAGGGGTCTCTCTAAGGCACTGCCATTGCTGGATCCGCACTTCTGTCCCCATGTTGTCCCGGAGACAGGCTGACAGGAGGGTAATGCTTGTTCCTGGCTCTCTCCAGGACAGAAGCTGTTCAGCTGTCACGTCTGCAGCAATGCGTTCTCCACGAAGGGGAGTCTGAAAGTGCACATGCGCCTGCACACGGGGGCCAAGCCTTTCAAGTGCCCGCACTGCGAGCTGCGCTTCCGCACCTCGGGGCGCAGGAAGACGCACATGCAGTTCCACTACAAGCCAGACCCCAAGAAACCCAGGAAGCCCGCCACGCGCAGCGTGTCTGAAGGGCTGCCGCCTGGACACCTGCTCGGCTCCTCGTCCCCCGCTGACCCCAGCGTTTTCATCATGAACAGCTCCGTCCTGACGGGGCAGTTTGAGCAGAATGTGCTGCCGCAGGGAGTGGTGGGCCAGGCCATTCTCCCAGCCTCTGTGTCTGGTGAGTGGGGCTGGGACTGGGCGTGCTCAGGGATTGTGAGAGTGGCTCGCTTCCTTCTGCACCCGGGGTGGAGGCGGCGTCCTGGTCCATAGAAGGCATTTCTGTCCCCGAGCCTTTCCTTAGAAAGCAGCGGGAGAGCGGAAGGCTGCCTTGCCCACACAGCGGCTTCTGCTTCCGCGTCTTCCTGCCTTCATCTCTAACGCCTTAGTGCTTCACTCTGCTTCTCACCCGTAGACTCATAAACTGGGTGGGGAGATGCGTCATTTCCAAGCGCTCATTAGCATTAATACAGTGCAGTTATCTCAGTGTTACTGGTCAGTGTTCGAGAGCACGTAATTGTAGCGGGGGGGGGGGGCTTGTCCGCGTGTTTTCAGGTGGCGGGGGGTGG